AAAATTAAAAAAGTAAGCTTTAGTTTTAACTCTTAGATATTAATGAAAATTCATGTTGAAGACGCGATTGCAGGTAAATTCGAATATTCTGGTATGTTAAACCCAAAGAATTCTCCGTACAAATCAGCTTTTCATTTTTTGCAGGGTTTTCAAAAAATATATAAGCAATTTTTTCCGCAAGGTGATCCATCTGATTTTGCATCATTCGTTTTCAAAGTTTTCGATGAAAATAAGGTTAATTAATAAATAAGCTTGTTTATATCAAATAAGCAACTAATAGAAACAAATGAAATTTTCATGCTGAAGTAAATATTAGAAAAGGTTTTTGAAATATTTAAAATAAATCATTCACAGAAAAGAAATAAATTTAATGAATATTTTTTTTACTATTATTATTAATTAGTTTATATTAATATCTTGAATTTCTTAGTAATACAAATAAATTAGTGGCAAATATTAACTATAAAATTTTTGCATCATTTTATAGTATATAATGTTTGCTTAGTAATTTTGATTCGTTTTTAAATAAGCTATAAATTATTTTAGGTTAAAATAAATTTAACGAAAAAGTAAGCTACCATATTTTACTGTATTTTTATAATTGAAAAAATAAAGTTAAATATTCTTTAGTTATATTAAATGTTAGTAATTGTTTAGCATAAATTCGCTATTAATAGAATATAATATAATGTATGATATTATTTTGATAGATATTAACTTTATTTTAACTCAAAATTATTTTAGTTAAATTTATTTTAAAATTTTCGAGGATATATTAAAAATATAAGTAACTTAATATTATAACTATGCGTAATATAATATACAAAATAATTATAGTAAGCATATATGCTATAAACTTAATAATATAACTACGCATAATATACACAAAAACATATACACTATAAAATATTATAAAAATATTTTGATTATGTATATATTTTACTATAAACTTAATATTATAACCATACATAATACACACAATAATTTTATGGTAAACAAATATACTATAAAATATTATAAAAATATTTTCAGTATGTATATATTTTTGCATTTAAAAGCTTTTTATGTTGATTGATGAATGCAGAAAAAATTTTTCAATAACATAAAGTGTAAATTTTATAGGATGGTGCAATCGAATTTCATGAATTTATCAGAGCTCTATCAATTACATCAAGGGGTAATTTGGATGAAAAATTACACTGTAAGCCAATATGTGTAAATTTTTAAATTTAAATTCATTTTATTTTCATTGGAAGAAAAATTGGAAAATTTAATACTTCAAAAAAAAGTATCAAACAATGGAATAAATTTTTTGAAAAACTTTAATAAAATTTTTTTAAACAAATAAAAATTAATTATTAAATAAATTTAAAAATAAAAATAAAATTTTCCAATGTTTTCCTCTTAATTAGTTAAAATGAAACAATTTGAAATAAATTAAAATTAATAATTATAGTTATAAAATATCTAAATTTATAATATATTATGTAAATTCCCACATTTTAACCCACAACATATATATTCCCATTTTACAGGGGCTTTTAGATTGTATGATTTGGATAGTGATGGTTTTATAACACGTGATGAAATGTTATCAATTGTTGGAAGTATTTATAAAATGGTTGGTACAACGGTAAAATTACCAAAAGAGGAAAATACACCGGAAAAACGAGTTGATCGAATTTTCAGAATGATGGATAAGGTGAGTTATAATTCATTTCAATATTCTTTTAAATCAATAATTAAAAATGACATTTATGAGTTTAATTTACTAATTTGTTTTTCACTAATTATATAAAAAAATATTTTGTTTTTATTATTTAACTTCAAATGATTGCTTCGTCAATTTTTCTTATACTTTTTAACCTTTGAACTCACAACAAAACTCTGATCAGAATTTCAACTTTCAACAAAGCTCTCATCAGAATGATTAAAGCAAAATTGTAGAAAAAAAGTTTAATTAATATTTTTCAAAGAGTGCAGAAAAAGAAAGAATGTTTAATGGTTCTCTTTTCAATGAAATAAGATATTATTGATTTCATTGTCTAAAATAATTTTTAACATACTGCTGAATTAATTATCATATCTTATCATATCATAAGCTCTTATGTTATTGATTTCATTTGTCTCAAATAACTTTCAATGTATTGTTAAATTAATTATCTTACCTTATCATATCATAAGCTCTGATTAGAATTGTTAAAGTAAAGTTGTAGAAAAGAAATAAATATTGTTGCAGAATAATGATGCTCAGCTAACATTGGAAGAATTTAAAGAAGGCGCAAAAGCAGATCCATCTATTGTTCATGCCTTGTCGCTTTATGAAGGAATTTCCAGTTAATATTAAACTTTTGAAATGTTCCTTTTCTTTCTTCGTTTCCTTTCTTTTTAACAAACACAAAATTTTGAATTTGAAATTTGAAATTTATTAATTTTATTGACTTTTAAATTAATTAATTTTATTGTTTTTTTTAAAAAAGCATGCAAAATTTAAATTAATTAAAATAGAAAATATTGTTAACTGATAGTAATATAGCACAAAATTATTTAGAATTAAAATTATTTCTTTCTCTGAATTTTAATAAAAAGTAGATATAATCTAATTGGAATTTTTTGAATTATCATTTTCTCTTTTGTTTTACAAAAAGGTGCTTTAAATTAAATCAAATTTTTCCAATATTATTATTATTTCACGTAAAAAAAAAAGAGCTCTCATTCTTATAGAAATATTTTACGGATAATGCGTATGTTTACTTATTATCCGTAAATATATGAACAAGCCTTTTATTTATGAAGAATTATTATGGCCTTTTATTTTGATCTTTACTTATTTTCTAGTATATTTCATCAAATTCCGAAATAAAAACCGGAAAAAAAGATCTATCTTTTTTTTTCCCTTTAATAAAAATAAAACAATTTATGTTACTAATGATTTATTGATATTTGCATATTTATGTTAATAATGTAGTAATTTGGTGATTAAATGAAATGATAAATATTTTTCATTGCTATCACTTATGCACTATGTTTAATTTAACAAATTTCATTAAACTTTTAAATAAGACTTGTTTTGAAATTTTCTGAAATTTATAATGAAAGAAGAAGAAATAAACAATGATAACGATGATAAAACAATGGATAATGATGATAATTAAAAGTAAATTATTCATTATTATTTCTCATTTAAAAATGCAACACAAATTTTCATTTAAAATAAAAAATTTCTATTCAAATTTTTACACTTATCTAATTACAACATTGTTGAATATTTCATTAACATTAATAGAAATTAATCGATAAGTTGAAAAAATTTTAAAGTTAGCAATAATTTTCAACAATGTTGTAATAACCTATCATTTCTTCGAAATTAAAATTACGAACTTTCAATAAGAAGGTGAGATAAAAAAACTTGCTTAAAGTTAAATATTTAAAATCCATTTATAAATCAATCGATAATAGACCTAAAAACTCAATAGTTAATGCAATTATTATTCTGTTGCGTATCATTGATAATATATACGCTTTGCGATGATTTCCACTTACTGCGAATGGCAAATGGTAATATGTGAAATGTTCAATAGTATCTTTAATAGGTATTCTTTGATAAATTCTTCTCAGGTAATCAATTGCTTTAATAAGGTGATTTCCACTTACTGCGAATGGCAAATGGTAATATGTGAGATATTCAATAGTATCTTTGATAGATTCCTCAAAGATAATTTGCTTGTATAAAGAAAACGAAATGAATAAAATTCAATTAAAACTTAAATTCCTAAGAAGGAAAATTGGAAATGATAAAGAAAAGAAATATTCCATTACTAATCAATATTCCATCAAACTTCATTCATCTCTTATTCAAAATTTTTTTTGATTACATTTATTCAATTAAAATTTTTATTCTCTGTTAATTGATTTAATTAATTATGCAGAATATTAAAAGTGAAATTAAAAAAAAATTTTTTATTGTTTATTTATCAAAAAAGCAATAATACAAATAGTGTTGGACACTTTGCAAAATTTGGTATAATTAAATATTTTATCAATATTTAGTAAAAAGAAAAATGGTAATTTTCAATTTTTAATTTTTTTTAGTCAATACAGATTTATGATGGGCGCAATTGTCGCATAATATATAGTGGTTATAAGAATCCATTGAGGATAATATCAAAATGAGAATCCATTTAGATGATATTGTTACTTGATACAATTATTGATATTTCATTATATTTATAATATTACTTTTAGTGATTTTTTTGACCTCTTCACCTTTATTAATGGAATTGCTTTCTTACAAATAACACTTATATGAATATATTAATAATATGCAAATTTTTGATTTGCTTAAAAATTTTTTCATGAAATTTAGCAATTATAAAAGAATTGATATACTGAAAATGCTTCATTCAATATTCTGATAATTCTTTGCGCACTGTTAATTGATCGGATATTAAATGAAAGAAGCGGATGAAGAAAATGATAGAGGAAAATCTCGCTCTAGAAAGCGTAAGAAGGTATATTAGATTATACGTTGCTACGTGTAATGCGCGTAAATGCTGATATATGTTAACTTGTAATTTTCGATTACACGATTATACGATTACTACGATCATTAGATTATACGTATAATTTGCACCATTTGTTGATAACATAAATGTTGCATTTCAACGGTCATTTTTCATTCTCATTTATTCGAGCATTAACGCTTTAAAATAATAGCTAATATTAATTTAAAATTCAAATAAACAAATAAACTATGAAATAACGAAAATTAAAATCATCTTATTTACATTTCAAAAATCGTCAAATGATAATTTCTTAGAAACGAAATTTTAAATTTTAAATTAAATTAATTTAAAATTTTAAAATTAATAGAAGCGTTTGAAAATTTCAAATTTTATAATTATTAGCTATATTTTTTCAACAAAATTATCCGACATATCAAAACAAAATCATTTACCAATAGAAGTTAACAAAATACAATTCGAAATTTTATTATTATTATCAAACAATATTGCTTAATTAAAAAAAGTAATAGGAAAAATGGAAATTATTAAATACTTTGAAATATATCTGAAATTAATAACTGAGAAATTTTAATTTTAAATTCTTTAATTCTTTTCATAGGTCATAGGTAAGCGCAATACTGAGAAATTTTGATTTTAATTTCTTTAATTCTTTTCATAAGTCAAAGGTCAAAGGTAAGCGCAATACTGAGAAATTTTGATTTTAATTTCTTTAATTCTTTTCATAAGTCAAAGGTCAAAGGTAAGCGCAATACTGAGTAATTTTGATTTTAATTTCTTTAATTCTTTTCATAAGTCAAAGGTCAAAGATAAGCGCAGTACTGAGAAATTTTAATTTTAATTTCTTTAATTCTTTTCATAAGTCAAAGGTCAAACGTAAGCGCAGTACTGAGAAATTTTAATTTTAATTTCTTTAATCCTTTTCATTTTCATAGGTCAAAGGTAAGGGCAGTAAGCGCAAGAGTCATCGAAGTCAAAAATTTGAAGATTCTGATGAGAAAGATGATGTTTCCTGTTGTGGTCGACCAAAACGAGTGAGAAATAAATGCTTATTTTAAAAATTTATTTGCTTGCTAAAAATATATTTGCATAAATAACAGTATGATGAAATATTTAATTTATTCAATCTTTTCTTTATTGCATAATAAAGAGATTTTGATAAAATCTTTTCATTGTTTTGTCGACAATTTATTAAATTTTGTTAATTATATTACATAATTAAATTAATCATTGAAGTTACTAATATTTTCCTTTGTTTTCATATATCTTTAGTATAAATAATTTAAACTTAATACATTGAATTTAATGTTCAATTTTAGTCTATTTTCTTTTCTGACAAATTAAATTTTAATTTTTGTAGAAAAGTGATTCACGTCGTCGTCGAAAACATCACCATCATAGAAAGCATAAATCAAAACGTTCTCAAAAGGATATGGTTGGAACGAAAGATGAAATTTCATCATCTGTTGTAGCAGCGCCACCAGTACCACAATCACAACAGCCAATAGCAGCAACCTCAGTTGCTGTATCAAAAGAGAAATTGAAAGAGGAAAAAGAATCTGGTGAAGTGACAAATACAAATCAAGGTAAACAATCAACATCAGGTGAAATTGCTGGACAAGGAAAGGTTAGTGTGTTAATTCATATTTTTAAAATTAATAAAATTTTCACCTCTTTTGTTTCTTAATTATAATAAACAAGACTGTAATAATTATAGTAATTAAATAGTCAAAATAATATAATAAACAAAATAATATTATAATAAACATGATATTATAATAAACAAAATAATATTATAATAATCAAAAATAATATTATAATAATCAAAATACAATAATCAAATAATCAAAACAACATTATAATAATCAAGATATTACAATTATAATCAAATGATCAAAATGATACTATAATAATCAAATAATCAAAATGATATTATAATAATCAAAACTCTTTTACATCTGCATTCACTCTTCTTCAACGCATTTTATAATTTATTCTCTCTCTTCTAAATTTCTCTTTCTTACAGTTAAGTGGTCAATTAGGTGCATCACAAATATCACCACCATTACCTTCATATGATAATCAAAAAGCTGATGCACGTAATGGACGTGATGGACGTGATGGACGTGAAAGTGTATCTCAAATAGCAATGAGTAAAACAGAATTATTGCAAGAATTATGTGTTACACAGTGTATACGTGATGGCTATGAAATAAGTCGAATGGAATATAAGACATGTTTTCCAATTTCAAAAAAACCAAATTTTATTTATTTACCTCAATTGAGGTTTCATTTTATTTACTTTCCTTTTTGTTTACAACTTCTATAACATATATTATATATTTATTATGACATACATTATATATTTATATTATTTATTTAACATATATTATTTATTATAACATACATTATATATATATATTATAACATATATTATATATTTCTATATTTTTTTATATTTTCTATATTTGATAAGCTACAAATAAACAACTATTTCATCAATAACTAAAATTTAATTTATTGAATTTTTAACAAAATAAAATTTCATTTTAAAATATTTTAAAATGTTGTAAAAGATTTATGGCAAATAAAAGTTCAACCGATACGCAAAAGAAATCATCAACTCGACAGAATGCAACTAATTTATTGCATGAAATAACACAACCAATTAACCTTTATCAAAATGAAACACCTGATTTAACAAAGGTTTGATTTTAATTAAGTTCAAAATTAACTTCGAAAATTTGTTAGTAATAAAAAGTAAAAAGATTTTAATTAAGTCCAAAATTAACTTCGAAAATTTGTTAGTGATAAAAAGTAAAAAGATTTTAATTAAGTCCAAAATTAACTTCGAAAATTTGTTAGTAATAAGTTTATGAAACCTTAAACAAATGGTAAAAAGTAAAAAAATAATAAATTAGGTAAATTAGGTAATTAGGTAAACACAAAAATGAAATCTAAATTAAATTTGAATAGTTTAATTTTAAAAATTGAAATTTTTTATTCTTAAAATTAATTTTTGAAAAGGTAAAAATGGGAATTTAATTTGCAATGAATTTGAAAATTGAAAATAAAATTTTTTCTTAAAGGAAAAAAATTTGATGTCTGAGACGAAAATAAGCAAATTTGTGGAAAATTTGAATGAATGCTATTTTGCGCTTCAAAAAACTCGCAAAAATATTGCTAATCTTAAGGTTCATACTATTTACTCATTTGTATGTTAACTTAATTACCTTTAATTAATTAAATGCTAAATTAATTATCATAATTAATTTCAAAATTTTCTTTTCCTCTCTTTTTCTCTATCATCTCTCGTCAAACAAAATATCAAATTTACTCACAACAAAAAATTATGAAACAATTAAATATGTTAAATGCTGAAATTATTTTCTCCTAAAATATGTTTTGCAATAATTTGTTTATAGCTTCTGGCAACTGGTGAGATGCTAAATGAAGTTCATAGGTATGATAATGATACAAAGACAATTATAAATGATCTTAAATATCTTCAACAACGTATTCATCGGAAATTTGGAAATTGAGCATAATATTTTATATTAATTAAAGAAGATGAAATATTCAACAAACGATCGATCTACTATTTTTTTAATGTTTCATTTAAATTGAAAGAAATTTTTTAAGCTGCAAACAATGATTTTGCCATTTTGCAATGATTAAATTAATTGGAAGGTAATTTTAATTCAAACTTTAATGTTTAAATTTCATCAACGGATTAAATTTCAGTTCTAAATTATCAAATATCACTATTCTTTAAAGTATATCACAATAAATAATAGCTAAATATTCTAAATTACCAAACGTTTCTAAATTATCAAAATGTTTTTAAAACACTTTCACAATAAATGATATCAATAAATCAATAAATCAATAAACAATAAATGATATTAATAAACAATAAATGATATCGGCAAATTCATAAGATAAATGAATTTGAAAAGTATTTCGTCGAAAATATTGTGATGAAATAGAGAGTATGCATTACCGGTGAATACAAATTAACATAATTTATATTATCTTTTTCTTTTGATAGTATTAGCAAATATTTGTTGTCAACAACATTTTTTCACCATTGATTGAAGTAAATTATCATTGATAATAAGCAGTGATAAAAACTTTAACGAAAGCTAATTTTGTTATCAATGAAAAATTATTGAAAAGATAAATTTTTAATTGAAAGAAAGTGTGATAATTTCCAAATAAGCTGGTTGACATCTACAAGATTGTTCAATTGAATGGCCAACATAAATAGCCAATGACAAAAATTTTAATCTAACATCGATAATTTTGCTACCAATTTATATTATTAGCACATTGATCAGAGTTCTTTGAGATGTTCAGGAAACAAAGATAAGGGTTTTTCGAATTTTTAATTTTTCTGAATAATTTCTTTGTCCTCTTTCTTTTGCTTCCTCTAATTCTATCAAAACTGTCTGCAAGAGTTACTTCCAAAGTGAATGTTTGAAGAAAATCTTCGTAAAATTAAAACTTCAAAAATTGACTTCCCAAAATAATTAAGCGTAATAATTAAGCATTCCTCATTTCATCACTTTTTGTTCATCTTTTAATAATGAGAAATAGAAAAATGAATCTTTCTGTTGTTGAACTTTTTGTTTTTTTTAAAACAAATGAAAAAAGTCATTGAGGTAAGAATGGAACTAATTTCAGGTTAGAACTAAAAGTTAAATTATAGATAAAAGAAGATTTAGAAGTGAAATTAATTTCAGGTTAGAACTAAAAGTTAAATTATGGATAAAAGAAGATTTAGAAGTGAAATTAATTTCAGGTTAGAACTAAAAGTTAAATTATGGATAAAAGAAGATTTAGAAGTGAAATTAATTTCAGGTTAGAACTAAAAGTTAAATTATGGATAAAAGAAGATTTAGAAGTGAAATTAATTTCAGGTTAGAACTAAAAGTTAAATTATAGATAAAAGAAGATGTAAAAGTGAAGCTAATTTTAGGTTAGAACTAAAAATTAAATTCTGAATAAAAAAAGATGTAAAAGTAAAATTACATTAAGTTAAAACTAAAAGTTAAATTTAAGATAAGAGGAGATGTAAAAGTGAAATTAAATTATGTTAAAACTAAAAGTTAAATTCCACGTAAAAAGAGATGTAAAAGTGAAACTAATTTTAGGTTAATTAACTAAAAATTAAATTATAAATATATAAAAGTGAAATTACATTAAGTTAAAACTAAAAGTTAAATTTTGATATTACTTTAAAAGTGTATGCTTATGAAAAATCTTAGCTAAATTCATCAATAAGTTTCATCGCATTCATATAATTTTTAATTTTTCAAATGAATCACAATAAATCCAACGAGTGAAAAAAAAAAACATTAAAATATTTGTATGTGAGCATTAAATTTGAAATATTATTAAAATTTAGCATATAAGATTAAAATAATTCAAAAGTTCTAATAAATGATATAAAACAAAGAGGTATAGTTGCTGGCATTAATTAATTGATTTATTGTTTTTATTATTGATAAAACATTTTTTATTTATCATTTTGTTCTTTTTTTTTTTTAAAAAAAATTTCAACATTAATCAAATATTAATACATTGTAATAAATGAGGAAAAATAAGATATGCTTTTATTTTGATGAATTGAAAAATATCAATTTTATCCATTCTCTGATATAATTTCATATTAACCTGAAATACAAAAGAATTTTCTTTTTTGATAATTTTATATTAACCTAATATTGATTTATTTATTAATTAATTATACTTAATTATCAAAATAGAACAAAAGAATTCTTAATTTCTAACAAAATTAGAATTGATATTTTTTTTAAATTTAATTAATTTGTGTGGAAAATTCAAAAAAAAAAAATCATTTATGAATTATAAATAAATAAATTAATCAATACTATGAATAATTTTTTTTTTGATTTAAATTATAGTTGCTCATTATCAAGATTTTTTTCTTTAATATTTTCAATCATATCACTCACTTATTCTTTCTATTTTGCTAGTTGTTATTTTCATAATAAAATTCATTTTTATCACCTGTATTAGTTGCACCTGTCGTATCACCACCAGTCGTTTGAGACATACCATCGACAGTAGTTGCTTGTGAAATACCTGTAGCTGCTACTGTTGTTGCCTATAACTAATGCAAATATACACTAGTGAAGTAAATCTCTTAAATGTGAAAGTGAAATACCTGCCACTATTGTTATCTACAACTAACACAAAAATACACTAATGCAATAAATCTCTTAATTTGAAAGATCTTAATTATCAATCGCAGTTGTCTGTGAAATACCTGCCACTGTTGTTACCTATAACTAATACAATTATACATTAATACTGTAAATCTCTTAAATGTGAAAGATTTTAATAGTATCAATCGTAGTTGCCGGTAAAATACCTGTCACTACTGTTACCTATAACTAATACAATTATACACTAATGCGGTAAATCTCTTAATGTGAAATATTAAAAAAAAAACTGCTCAAATTTAGATTCCTTATTAAAATGTGAACATTAAATTACTTATGAATAGTAGGTAAGATGAGCTATTTTTAATTTGCTAAAAGAAATAACATAATTAAGACTTTTTCATTAAAAATCATTATTGTTTAGAAGATGCATATAAAAAGATAGAAAACAAACATCGGCAAATTTTGCAAATTTTCCATATGTTTTCCTCATTTCAGTATCCCAACGTTTGTAACATTTTTTCGAATTTAAACGTAGTAAAAAAACAGCACCAAAAACTCTACAAAAAGTGAAACGAAATTTATTTGTGTAATATTATTAAATTTTTAAAACAATTAATTAAGAGAATTCTTTTTTCTAATTTTTAAATTTATTTATTTTTTATTTTTCTAATTTTTAAGTTTGTTTATTTATTTATTTATTTTGTTAAGTTTATTTTTCTTTGTAAAAAAATTTAATTAAAAATTTTATTTACAAAGTTTTAAATTGACAATCAAAAGATAATACTATAAATAATAATAGTGATTGATAGGTAAAGAATTTCAAAATTGTGGAAGAGTCCTCTTCAAAAAGTTGACTTACGGTTTTGCTTGATATTCAAATATGCCATTATCGATGACAAGCTACTATTGATGACAAAAAAAACCATGTGGTCTTCGTTAAAACATTCTCATA